ATAATCATTAGTGGAAATAAATTGTATTTCTTTATTTATAGTTATGAACTTACGTAAATATTTTGGGTGACTATTTAAAACAAAGAGTAAAAAACAACAACAAATTAAATGTGAATAAGTCAAAAGCTAAACATTTGATACTTGACTCGGCTCTGCTATTAATTTTATAAACAGAAAGGGTCAGATAACTAATACATAGCCCAAATAAAGTGCATATTTAAACAAGTTGGGTATACTGGTATTTTCAAATATTCTATTGAATGACAGTGTTCACTGTACGTAAGTATTCATAAAGTGTAACAATATTCTATTGAATGGCAGTGTTCACTGTACGTAAGTATTCATAAAGTGTAGCAATATTCTATTAAATGGCAGTGTTCACTGTACGTAAGTATTCATAAAGTGTAGCAATATTCTATTAAATGGCAGTGTTCACTGTACGTAAGTATTCATAAAGTGTAGCAATATTCTATTAAATGGCAGTGTTCACTGTACGTAAGTATTCATAAAGTGTAACAATATTCTATTGAATGGCAGTGTTCACTGTACGTAAGTATTCATAAAGTGTAACAATATTCTCTTGAATGGCATTGTTGACTGTACAGTGTTATAGAAAGTGCACTAAACACAATGTACACACAAAATATAGAACACTTGACTGATATTTTTGGAATGTTAATAAATTATACTAAGGAACCACCAAGAGATAAAATCGCGTGCCTGAATTTTTTCTTTTAATTTTTTATATTTTATAATTATCAGTTATAGCTAACTCAACACTTTATTTCAAATAGTTTATTAAAATTCTTTTCATTGTTCTTGTTTTTTGCCTGACTCTGCGTTTACATGAATGTCAGACCTTACAGTTGAGTGAGGACTTCATTATAACAGGCAGTAAAAAAAAAGTTGCCCCCTCCGCCGTCCTCCTCCTTAGGTGGCTCAGCCGTAGGTTTGAAGGCTTATAACTAAAATTTGAAATTCGAGCTCTCCGGTGAAGATAGCCCATTGTAAAACTTTATGCTTGCAATTGGCGTCTATCTACAATTAGGCCTAGAAATAAAAATATGTAGGTTACAACGATTTATAAGCATTATGAATTGATTTTTTTTTATGATGGAACATACTATAAGTTCGACAGAACATTTGTCTGACTTCATACCTGAAGAAATAACTTTTTTTTTTACAATAGAAACATCCACCAAATTTAAATATTTTTTGTGTTTAGTCCACAATGACAGAAACGTGCGTAGAAAGAAGGCACAAACATAACCCTAAACGTTCAAGAGTTAATCAGATGACTAGTTTCTCAGAAAAGTTTCTGTTTTAACACTGTCCCTCTGTAATGTTACACTTACAATGTTATAACAGGTACACACAAAAATAAATAAACAAGAAACTAGTTTTGGTGAGCCAATAAAACCCACATCCCCCTACTAGTTCTTAGCTCACGTTAGGCCTACTTTGCTTTTGTCCATGCAGTGCTTCGTTTTCTTTTCTCTCCGATATAGAAGTGAAGCGACTCCTGATTAATGACGACCAACGAAATAACTTTCTGCACGTGTTTCGTTATCGCTTAAAATAGCTGGTTGATCGTGAAGAAAACTGTCCTAGAATTCCATATTGCCAAGTTAAGAGCATGGCTGTCACTTTTTCTAAATATACCAGTTCGTACATCTGTTTAGCTACTATTTTTATGTATATATATACATACAACGCGCTAATGACAGAGACATGAACTCAGTTTAATACAAGTTCACTTGAATCACGACACATAATCTCAAATTTTAACTTCAAGCAGTTTATTCCTGTGTTGTGAGCCATACTTTTATACAAGATAATTATCTGACCATCATTTATAACTGAGTTATGTCTGACCAGTTTATTTATTTTAAATTATTAAACTACTAAAAGAACTGGCCTGGCATAGCCTGATAGTTATGGCCTCGACTCACAATCTGCGGGTCGCGGACTTGATTTGGATTTGTAAAATATTAAACTACTTGTAGAATTGGCCTGGCATAGCCTGATAGTTATGACATCGACTCACAATCTGCGGGTCGCGGACTTGATTTGGATTTGTAAAATATTAAATTGCTTATAGAATTGGCCTGGCATAGCCTGATAGTTATGGTCTCGACTCACAATCTGCCGGTCGCGGACTTGATTTGGATTTGTAAAATATTAAACTACTTATAGAATTGGCCTGGCATAGCCTGATAGTTATGGCCTCGACTCACAATCTGCGGGTCGCGGTTCC